ACCTTTTGAGTTTTTGCTGTTCTTCAAACTCCTTTTTGGCTTTCCTTATTACATTTTACACTTAATTTGGGAGTGTTTATGCTCCTTTCTATTTACCTCACTAGGATTTGACTTCCACTTTTTAAAAGATGCCTTTTTATCTCTCACTGCTTCTTTTACATGGTTAAGCCAAGCCACAGGGGCTCTTTTTTAGTTCTTCTACTATCTTTTTTTTAATTTGGGGTATATATTTAAGTTGGGCCTCTATTATGGTGTCTTTGAAAAATTGTTCAAGTAGCTTGCAGGGATTTTACTTTAGTCACTGTACCTTTTAATTTGTTTAACTAACCTCCTCATTTTTGCATAGTTCCCCTTTTTGAAATTAAATGCCAGTGTTGGGCTGCTGAGGTATTCTTCTCACCAGAGGAATGTTAAATGTTATTATATTATGGTCACGATTTCCAAGCGGTCCTCTTATATTTACCTCTTGGACCAGATCCTGTGTGCCACTCAGGACTAAATCGAGAATTGCCTCTCTCCTTGTGGGTTCCTGTACCAGCTGCTCCAAGAAGCAGTCGTTTAAGGTATCAAGAAATGTTGTATCTATCTCGTCCTGAGGTTACTTGTACCCAGTCAATATGGGGATAGTTGAAATCCCCATTATTGAGTTCTTTATTTTGATAGCCTCTCTAATCTCTCTTAGCATTTCATAGTCACTGTTAGTGTCCTGGTCAGGTAGTCGATAATAGATCCCTACTGTTATATTCTTATTAGAGCAGGGAATTACTATCCATAGCGATTCTATGGAACATGTTGATTCATTTAAGATTTTTACTTCATTTGATTCTAAATTTTCTTTCACATAGTGCCACTCCCACACCCGCATGACCTGTTCTGTCCTTCCAATATATTTTGTATCTCAGAATGATTGTCCCCCATTGATTGTCCTCACTCCACCAGGTTTCTGTGATGCATATTACATCAGTATCCTCCTTTAACACCAGGCACTCTAGTTCACTCATCTTATTTTTTAGACTTTAGCATTTGTGTACAAGCCCTTTAAAACCTTGTCACTGTTTATCTGTCTGCCCTTTTCTGATGTGTCAGATTCTTTTTTATGTGAATGTTTTTCATCTGATCTGGCCCATATTTTATCCTCTTCCATCCTCTCCTCCTGACTAAAACCTAGAGAATCTCTATCAATAGACTCTCCTCTAAGAGACATCTCTGTCCAATCCATGTGCTCCTCTGCACCAATCTGCTTTCCCCCATTTCTTAGTTTAAAAACTGCTCTGTGACCTTTTTAATGTTAAGTGCCAGCAGTCTGGATCCACTTTGGTTTAGGTAGAGCCCATCCTTCCTGTATAGGCTCCCCGTATCCCAAAAGTTTCCCCAGTTCCTTATAAAACTAAACCCCTCCTCCCCACACCATTGTCTCTTCCACGCATCGAAACTCTGAAGCTCTGCCTGCCTACCTGGCCCTGTGCGTGGAACTGGAAGTATTTCTGAGAATGCCACCATAGAGGTCCTGGATTTTGTTCTCTTTCCTAGCAGCTTAAATTTGGCCTTCAGGACATCTCTGCTACTCTTCCCTATGTCACTGGTACCTACATATACCACGACCACCAGCTCCTTTCCAGCACTACACAACAAAGGTTGTGTCTCTTTTAATCCATAGCTTGTTAAGCAAATTGTCACATTTCTATTCCTTGCTTCCAAATTCTTTTTGAAAATGCACATATCCCTGAAAGGTAAGGCTGAAAATTTTCGAGTTATAATCTGAACTGTGCTATTAACAAGATATCTTTAAAATATTAAAAATCAGCACGACTCAATATTGGTCTCCATCACTTATATACTACCTTGAGATCTGTGATAAGCAGACTTCAGTGAATCATGGAACCAAATTAGCAATCAAAGTTACCCAAAAGCACCACAGTAGTGTCAATCTGTTTAATTATGAATGGATAGTAAATTAAATAGTATGATGAAAGATAGTGTATATAGATATATATATATATATTCTCATAGCAAAATGATTAACCACATTTTTATCAACTACAATTGATTAACATAACAAAAGCATCCTGATTGTTAATTAAAAACACTGATTTAATTATGTCCTGCAAAAGACATACTGAAGAGCTCCCTGTGGCTAGAGCACCTCAGTCTGAGTATCACTGCTTTAGATCAGTGTTTCTCAACCAGTCATGCGAGTACCCTTAGGGATACTCAAGAGAAGTCTGGGGGACACATCAACACAACTGACATTTGGAGAAAGCTGAATTTTTGGTTTAAGTTTTATAGCGTTGTTTTATTTTTGTACTTTTTACACCCAAAAATTTCATTGCCCACCCAGCTACAATTAAGTTGTTTAAACAAATGTGTTGCAATGGTAGAAAAAAAAGGGTGTGTGTCTGAAAACTGTAGGTACTGGGGGTACTTATTTTTTTAAAGAGGTACTTTATAAAAAAGGTTGAGAAACACTGTTTTAGATAATAAGCTGTTTGGTGTAGGGACTTCTGCTTTGCAGACAGGACGTGAAAACATCGAGCTAACACTGCTAATCAAGGGGGTTAAATCAAGAGAACTTTCTGACAAGTATATTTCAAAAACATTTATTGAATTTTCCCATTTATCCTGTTATTTTATCAAAATAAAAACAAGGATTCGGAGATTCCAACAAGAGCTAGGTGACATTCAGAAATACAAGCTGTTTGCCCATTCCTTCATGACAACAAATTGTAAAGTTAAAGAAAAGAGGGAAGAACATTGCTTCACTTGAAAAGGGGACAGTCTAAGGGTAGGTGAAAGGAGTACTTTCCTGAAACCAGTTGAAATTAACGGGGCAGAAGAGAAATAATGCAGCTACTTCTGGGACTAGGAATGGTACTCCAGATGAAGATGTTGCTTTAGTAATTAATTGAGAAACTACAAAGTTAGGATTAAATATAGGTGACTCAGTACTTTAGGCAAAGTTACAGCATAAATTTTCAAGTGTCAGAAGCTTGTCACATATGGCTTTGGAAAGGTGACCATTCTTTAAGGATTATAGAGCAGTAGTGCCCAATGGGGATGTTAAAGTGTGGGGTTTTTTTAAACATGTGGTCACTACTTTAAGACATTTTCAAAAAGCGGAATAAATGCTAAACAAAACTCCCAAAGAATGAAAGAGATATTAATCTGAAATTGAGGAAGAGTTATATCCTTGAGTATGAATCTGCTGTTGTGACTCTATAAAGCTTAAAGAGAATAGTTTAAAAATCACATTCTCCCCTCTCCTTTTAGTTTCCTAGAAATCCCATTCAAAACTCATATGCTATTTCTTACTAGGTTTTCCAGCAAACTGGAAGTTAACTGGCCAAAACATTTGGCTAAATGTGAGCTTTCCTAATTTGGGGAGCCAGAACCTTTGACATGATTATATAAACACACACACACACACACAGACACACACACACAGCCAAATTTGTCTGATCTAGTCTTAGTGAAAATGAAACCTTTAAAAAGTTTCAGAAATCTGTAGCAAATTTTGAAATTTGCTAACATCACTAATCTTGTAAAGTCTAACACTCAGTTGGCACAGATGGGTTTGCTGACACTTGTTCAATTGTAGTAAGCATCAGGGATTTACTAATTAGCTGTCTAGAATGTATAGTCTGCCATACAGAATTCCACAAAA